CAGACACACAGACACACAGACACATACACAGATGCACACACACAGACACACACAGACACACATACAGACACATACACAGATGCACACACACACACATACACACACGCACATACATGTCACACACACACGGACGGACACACGGACATGCACATACACAGACACAGACACAGACACAGACACACGGACATACACTGACATGGACACACACACAGACACACACACACACACACACACACACACACACACACGATCTTGGCGGAGGACTATTCCGTCTAAGGTAAGTTGTACTCTGCCCTCCATGACTTTGTGAATGAATGGTTCTGGGCCCTGTGATACGTACAATGCTTCACACGTTTGGGAAGTTGGGGGTGTCACGGTGGCTTTGTCTTTGGTTGGGTAGTCAGCGTGTTTCATGTCATTGGACCGCGCCACACCCCCTACCACTGTTAGACACAACTGGGAAGTGATTTGGGCGGAGAGTGAGAGCAGGGTCGGAGGAGTTGACTACTGCGTGCCAGATTCATTTCGATGTCATTGATTCGAAGAAAAAATGGCACCCAGTAGCCAACCCTCGTATGATGTCCGTGTACTGACTGGCAGCGTCGAACGACCGCATACTTCCAACAGAGGGACACACAAACAACATTAAACAAACCCTCATGGAGCTTGAAATCATCGTTTTGTTGTTCCACTTACAGACACATAGACAAAAGCACAACCATCATGTCGATGTCAGCGGCGCAGGCGAGGGCAGTTCTTCAAGAGGTGATGCAATACCCGGAGGAGGGCATCCACTACGATGACGACGGGGAGCTTGAACTACTCATGGAGAGAGTGCCGAGTTACCATTCGTGCAAGCATCGCTGCGAACGGAGAGAAGTCGCTCAGAGCACGGATGCTATTGGCATGGTTCACTGAGGCGCATGATTTGCGTGTAGACAACAGTGCTGATGCCAGTGCATACAGTTTGAGAAAAGTGGTTGGTTGGATGTGCACAGAAGGGATGTCCGATGAAGGCGACGTGGATATGACAAAGCAGCAAAAGCGGGGAATATATATGCCAACCGATTTCAAGCAGACGCTGATAACACAGGCGAAAAAATGGGGAATGCTTGTTGAAGATTCTAAGGACGAGATGAAGAGCGGTGCAACAAAAATTTTAGTCCTCTCGCGTTTGAAGGACATACCGCAAGCTCCCTCGCAAGACTTCCAAGATCTTCCAGTAATTATCGCAAACGGGGCGGAGTATGTTTTACTCGACCAACTTCATGAAAAAGAAACCTGACGATCGGAATGTCATACATGAGGCATTGCATGATGTGATAGAGCAAGCACTGACGGGCAAGGACCTCATTAACTACAGGGTTCGGAGTGTGGACGAGGATGTCGTATGTGGTACTCCATTGTGGGATGAAATATTCATGGCAGCTTTGCATCGCCTCAACATTGCGACTTCTGAGGTGGACAGAAATAGGTCAAGGGAAGAGGGATGGAAGTTGGTGGCCAGGGAAGCAGATGTTGCACTTCATGCAGCAGATGGACACACTTCAGCAGGGGAAGAAATTGTGAGAACAGTCTTCATCGCGCGTTCTCCAATAAACACAATGTCCACGCAGGAGGTAGAAGAAGAAGATGTGTTCAATGACTGGACAATGACAGAACAACGACGGGAACGAGGGTTCGAAGACTCTTCTTTACCGATCGATTTCGAATATGACATTGACGAAACAAGAGTGAGGAACAATGAAAAAGATGCGAGGGCGCCTAACAATGAGGTGGAAGTGAGTGGCAGCGATGTGAGCAGCGACGAGGAGGGTGAGGAATATGATGCCTACTGGGACATGGAAGCAAGGGGGGGACAAGCGTCAAAAGGGTGGGCACATGCGATTCTTAGGTTGGCACGTGTATTCTCTAATCCCCATTTACTGTTGCGTGTCGTGCTGAAGGAGGCAACACGTGAGGGTGCACTCCAGTATGTAGCACTGACGACCATTATGAGATCATGCTCGAACGGAAGAAGACGGTCACGTATGGGGAAGTCATGGTTTGTCTTCGTTAACAAAGAGGCTGTCCTCGCAACATCACTTACGTGAGGCCTGGACCTTAGTTGCCTCCTGCACGGGGCTGTAGCTAGTGGTTCTGGTGCTACATTGCACCCGACACTATCAAAGGGAGAGGAAATACTTCGTGCTCACACATGGCTTGACTGCGCACCAGAGACCATGCTGGACAGCGGTGATACAGACATTGGTAGTGGACAGCGTTGAATGCAGTTGTTCGATGTACAGGCTATGCATATCATGATTAATTCTGCACATCCGTCATTGCACGGAGTATGTGCAATATTTTGGGTGTTCGAGTGCTCGACAACGTTGTACATGCTCTCTCTCTCTCTCTCTCCCTCCCTCTCTCTCTCTCTCTGTGTGCGAGGCTACAACCTGCAATGAGCCCCAACAGACTTCCAGGCATAAATGTGGGGGCCCCAAGGGGTGATTCGAGTTGCAATTCTGCTTTTGGTTGGAGGTCATGACTTTTTGGCTTTCATGTTGATGATGTGGAATGCTTGTTCAAGTTTGCTATTGCTCAAAGTATACAGTATATGTGTGTGTGTGTTATTACAGATCTTTTATTACTGTTCCTCTAATGACAACAGAAAAATATTTTTCTTTTATAAATGTTCCAACAAATCCGCACTTATTCTTTTATAAATATTTTTATTTTATAAATGTTCCAACAAATCCGCACTTTAATAAATGTTTTTCTTTTTTAAGTGCTGTGTGTGTGTGTGTGTGTGTGTGTGTGTGTGTGTGTGTGT